AAAGTATATATATATATATATATATATATATATATATATATATATATATTCACATATAAATGTGCACATAAATTAACGAGTAAAAACTATTAAGAGGCTGCATTTACAGATGGTCACAGATCAGCCGAGCAATATAGCCTGTGGTTTAGCCCATGAGCTCTAGATAGCTTCTGATTTGAGTCCTGGCTCTTTCATTTATCAACTGTGTGACCTTCATAAGGAACATCTTCAGGCCTCCGTTTCCTCAACTGTTAAATGAGATGACACATGGAAAGCTCTTAGCACAGTCCTTGGCAGGTAGTAAAACAGCCTCTAAGTGTTTTTAGTGATTATTATTGTCATTAGTGCTGCCAGAGCAGAGCATGGGTCCCGGCCCTGAAGCAGAATGAGTTGGGGCTGAAGCCCCTTTGGACTTCACACGGCCACGCAGAGATCCACAGGGATCTAAGGAGCGCTGTCAGGCTGGCCTAGATACCGAGATGGGATCCTGAGATGACAGCAACCTGCCATCTTTTCTTTGTGTCCCTTTGATGAGTGGGACATCACCAGTACTCAGGCTGGATGACTCTCCCTACACAGAAAGCATGTCCTAGAAACTGGGGAGACCTATAAAGTAAGTGTGAATTTGCTAAGAATCAAATGAGGTAGTAGACATACCGTGCCTGGCACATGGTAAATAATCATTATTATGCATTATGATAATCTATAATTTTATGTAATTTGTTGTAGTGTCTCCAAAACACAACCTCACAAATAACAACTAGCATTACTTGAGCACCTACTCCAAGAGCCATCCATTGGGTCTGGATGCCCAATACCTTCACCTTTTCCTGATGACAGCACTCCATTTTCCTTTGGGGAACTGCCTACCCCCGTCCCATTGTTCTGGTGGGACTGCCAATCACAGTCCTCTATTCCAATCCCTGACAGTTTCTTTAAAACTTGATCAGCCAGAGGCCACCAGGAATGAGCTTACAGTCTGACGAAATCAGATTAGCAGTGAGGTGGGGCAGTCCGGAAGATCTCCAGAAGGAGAGCACCTATCTTGCAAGATGTGGGTTCCTACCCAAGGATTCTAAAGAGGGTTGAAGGAAAGCAGGAATCAGTTCTGGATTGGATGCTGTTTTGGATGAGGGATTAAGAGGAGCAAGGATTAACTAGGGATTGAGCATTGTCATGAGGCCAGGGTGGCTGAGCAATTGGTTATCCCCAGTATTAGATGAGAATAGCAAAGCATGCCTCTGCCTTTGTCTTTGGTCCTAGGTAAGAGAGCAGTGGCCACTTGCAGAGGGTCCTTATAGCATTTCACAGCCACTACATGACTTTGGGAGGAACAATGTTTCTTGCAGGCTTTGTAGCTGGCTTTAACTTCTCTGTCCTCTTAACCTGCTGTTTCGTTTCCAGGACAAGTTGATTTTCACTTTCAGTCCCAGGTAGAGTTTTACTCTTTTTGCCCCAACTGTGACTTTGAACAAAGACACTTTTCCTCAAGACACTTTAGTGCTATTTACTAGAAAATTGTCACAATGAGTGTTCAAACCTCTGATGACTAAGATGAGTAACCCCTGAAGTTTACAAAGCCTAATTGCAATTATAGGCAGCAGCCCTGCCCCACGTGCCCTGTGCTGGGGCAATCAGACACTGGGACCTGGGGCAGGAGACTCTCAGGTGAGAGGCAAAGGTTGGAGCAGGCTCTCTAAGGAACAGCCCCAAGAGAGGCTGGGCCACAAACAGTTGTCACTGAAATTCCTGTCACTGCCTGGGCTCTTCAGGGCCTCCCTGAGGATTGTTTATCTCTTCTTTTGATTCTGGAGCTATCCCAATCATTTCCTAGTAATCCTCGTTAAACTGAGCTAGTCAGTTTCTATTGCTGACAACCCCAGAACCCTAAATAACATATCTGTTTTTGTAGGTCTTGTGTTCGGTGCTGGGATAGAGAGGAATAACGTGCAGGCCCACTTGTGTACTCACTATGTACCTATGATGTAAGGGAGTGATTACTCCCATGACAAAATGATTTTTCCCTTTCCAAAATAATTCACCCCTGGGTCCTTCCCTTTCTCTCCTGAACCCTCATTCTGTAAACTTTATGAATTCTCACTATATCTCCAGTGCCTGGCCCACAGTGAGCCCTCGACAGATTCACTGTATGAATGAATGAATGAATGTTATCAACATCTCCATTTCTACAGATAAGAAAACTGAGCCTCAAAGAGACTCATAACTAAGCTATGCACATGCTATTAACAAGTGGTAGAGAAGAAATTCAAAACCAGGCCAGTCTGCATCTTCACTACACCACACATATTTCTCTTATTCATAACCAAGCTCCCAATGAAAGATTTTAATGTCAAAATGTCACCTTCCAATTTGGTGACTCCTCAAAAAGTTAAATGTAGAATTACCATATAATTGGCCAGGCACGGTGTCTCATGCCTGTAATCCCGGCACTTTGGGTGGCCGAGGCGGGTGAATCACGAGGTCAGGAGATCTAGACCATCCGGGCCAACATGGTGAAACCCAACTCTACTAAAATACAAAAAATTAGCTGGGCATGGTGGCACGTGGCTGTAGTCCCAGCTACTCAGGAGGTTGCGACAGAGGAAACATTTGAACCCGGGAGGTGGAGGTTGCAGTGAGCCAAGGTAGCACCACTGCACTCCAGCCTGGCGACAGAGCAAGACTCTATCCCAAAAAACAAAAATAAATAAACAGAAAAGAATTGCTGTATAACCCAGCAATTCCACTCCTAAGTACCCCCAAAAAGAGTTTAAAGCAGCTACTCAAATAAGGACATGTACACACATGTTCATAGCAGCACTATTTGCAATAGCCTAAAGGTAGAAACAGCCCAAATCTCCATCAATGGATGAATGGATAAATTGTATATATACACACAATAAAATATTATGCAGTCATAAAAAAGGAGTATTGATACATGATGTGGATGAACCACAAAAGCACTTCAAGTAAAAGAAGTTAGACACAAAAGGTCACATATTTTATGATTCAAGTTATATAAAATATCCAGAATAGGTAGATCCATAAAGACAGAACACAGATTGGTGGTTACCAGGACAGGAGGGACAGGGAATGGGGAGAAACTGCTTATTAGTTACAGAGCTTCCTTTTGGGGTGATGACAGTATTTGAACTTTCCAAAGTGGTGGTTGTGCAATACCGTGAAAGTCCTAAATGCCTCCAACTAGTTCACATTAAAATGGCTAATATTTTGGTCAGATGTGGCGGCTCACACCAATCATCCTAGCACTTTGGGAGGCCGAGACAGGTGGATTGATTCAGTCCAGGAGTTTGAGATCAACCTGGGCAACATAGGGAGACCCTGTATCTACAAAAAAATTATAAACAAAAAAAAATAAAAATTTGTAAATGGCCTTATTTTAAAATTAATTAAAAATTTTTTAAATTTAAAATTAAAAAATTTTAACATCTCTATGTTATATGAATTTCACCTCAATAATACAAAAATCTTAAAGCCACTGAACTGTACATTTAAAATGGCTTAAATGGTACATTTTATGTTATGTATATTTTACATACACACAAAATTCACACTGCAGGAGCCACCCTGCCACTCAAGAATACCAAATGTTTCCCATGGCATCTCTCCTAGCCCTGGGAAATACAATAAGGACTCAATGAATGCTGATATTTTTAACTCGTTTTTAGGCTGTGCAGGAGAGAAGCCCTCCCCTGGAGGCAGTACGGTGGAATGGCTAGGGGTACAGGCAGCTGAGTTCAAACCCCAGGTCAGCCACTTACAACTTGGTGACTTTGGGTGATTTATAAACCTGTCTGTGCAAGTTTTCTCGTCAAGAAAATTGGAAACACAGTGACTCCTTCACAGGTGAAGTGAAATGATAATGTGTGAAAAGCACTTGGAATCATCCCTAAGACACAGTAAGTGTTCAGTATCAGCTGCTGGGATGAGGGTGATTATACGCTACAGTGGGTTCTGCTGCTCCCAACCCCTCCATTTTCACCAGTGTTTACCATATTACCTCTCTGTAATACATTTTGTGCCTCAGGTAACTGTTTTTGGCAGGAAAGGAGCAGTTACCTTCAAAGCAAGCTGACTCCCCAAAGAGGAGTCTTCTTGTGATGAAATCCCAAGGAAGCTCCAGAGACCCCCTTCTGGGTGTTTATGTCCATCAGCAGTAGGCAGCTCCCATGAGATGAATTCTACACAGAATGATCAGTAGTTCCTGTGGCCTTTGGCTGCTTGTGTAGTTAAGCACATTTATCATGAGCTCCTCTTCTCAGTCATTTGCTGAGAAGAGTCATTAGGACTTCCTCCATTTCCACCCAGGCTGTTTCTTGTGCTCCATATGATGTGGAAGAGACTTAGAGATGTGGGAAGCATCCCACACAGCTGATCAGCCAGGCACGGAGGTCCACCCACCTGCAGAAGGGTCACCAGGCTTGAAAACATCCTATCCACACCTGCAAATCTATCCATGCCTCTTGTTCATGCCCAGCCCACACATTTGATTTTTTTCTAAATTCATTGTTTTCAAAATAATTAAAAGTCTCTTGCTTACTCTGACAAAATAAGCTGCCATGTTGTGAGATGTTCTGCGGAGAGGCCTATGTGACAAGGACCAAGGGAAGCCTCCAGCTGACAGCTCATGAGAAACTGAATCCTACCAATAAACATGTGAGTGAGCCAGTGTTCCGCAAAAGGGCCGGATATGCAGAGCGACCCCCAAATGCCAAAGAAGCCAAGAAACCAAAGGAGGCTGACAAATCCAGCTTGGTGGTGAAGGATGATCTGCTGAGGTAACTTACAGACAGAAGCATGGTCTTCAGTGGCCACAAGACAGGTAGATCTGTTACTCCCCAGACCTAAGGATTATATACGATGGGGAAATAGTAAATATGCTCTGGCAAGACAGTTAAAGGCAGCCAGCCAGAACAGTCAAGAATGCTGTGTGTGTTGCAGCCTATAATGTGTGCAATAACATCAAGGTTGCTTTTCTTCTTATACTAGGGACAACAAATAAAGCAGAAACCAGGAGACAAAATTAGTTGGGTGTGGTGGCACGCGCCTGTAATCCCAGCTACTTGGGAGGCTGAGGCAGGAGAATCGCTTGAACCCAGGTGATAGATGGAAGTTGCAATGAGCTGAGATCGCACCCCCACACTCCAGCCTGGGCAACAAAAGCAAAACTCTGTTTTTTTTTTTTTTTTTAAAAAAAAGACCTAGATAGGAGCCAGGTGTGACAGCTCAATCCTGGAATCCCAGTATTTTGGGAGGCTGAAGCAGGAAGACTGAGGCAGGAGGATCGCTTGAAACCGAAAGACCAGCCTAGGCAACAAAGTTAGATCCTGTCTGCACAAAAAAAAAAAAAAAAAAAAAAAAAAAGCAGGGGGCGGGGGAAGACCCAGCTAAACCGCACCTAGATTCCTGACCTGCAGCAACTTTAAGATAATGTTGTTGTTTTAAGGCACTAAATTTTAGAATAATTTGTCATGCAGTGAAGAATGACTAATATAGGTTGAGGGTCAGTTTTACATGTTAACTTGTCTAGGATACAGTCCTCAGTTATTCAATCAAACAGTAATTTAGTTGTTGCTGTGAAGGTTATTTTGTAGATATGATTAAAGTCTATAGTCAGTTAACTATAGGAAATAGAGGCCAAGCATGGGGGCTCACACCTGTAATCCCAGCACTCTGGGGGACCAAGACAGGTGGATTGTTGGAGTCTAGAGTTCAACACCAGCCTGGACAACATAGTGAAACTCTATCTCTAGAAAAAATACAAAAAATTAGCTGGGCATGGTGGCACATGCCTGTGGTTCCAGCTACGTGGGAGGCTGAGGTGGGAGGACTGCTTGAACCCAGGAGGTGAAGGTTGCAGTGAGCCGAGATCATGACACTGTACTCCAGCCTGGGTGTCAGAGTGAAACTCTGTCTCAAAAAAATAAAGGGAAGGGAAGGGGAAGGGGAGGGAAGAGGAAGGGAAAGGGGAAGAGAAAGGGAAAAGGGAAAGGGAAAGGGAGGGAAGGGGAGGGAAGGGGAAGGGGAAGGTAAAAGGGAAGGGGAGGAGAGGGGAAAGCAAAGGGAAGGGAGGGGAAAAGGAAAGGAAAAAGGAAGGGAAAGGGAAGGGAAAGGGAAGGAAAAGGGAAGGGAAAGGAAAAAAGGAAGGAAAGGAGGGAGGGAAATAAATAAGAGATTGTCCAAAATAATCTATGTGGGCCTGATTCAATCAGTTGAAAGGCCTTAGAAGAGAAGAGCTGAGGTTTCCCAGAAGAAAAAATTCTTCCTGTGGACAGCAGCTTCAGTTCATACCCAAGAGTTCCCATTTGCCTTCATCACAGCCTGACCTATGGACTTCAGAATTGCCTTGCCAACTCCGACAATAATATCAGCCGATTCCTTGTAATAAAATGTCTCTTTCTCTCTCTATATATATAGGATAATTAAAATTGTTTAATATATATAATGCATCACAGAGAATAAAGAAACCAAAACAATATCAAAAGGATACGCCATAAAAAGGAAGACTCCCTCCACTTGCTGCCTTTTAGCTCCCTTCCCCTAAGGAGATCAATGCGACCTGTTTAATATCCTTCTAGAAATAGTCTATGCATACAGGAACATATATTTATTCTTACCTCCTGATCCTCATGTTTTAGCACACATTTTATACACAGAGTTCTGTATCTTGCTTTTTAAAATTTATCTAACTATTGTGGTCGTCCTCTTATCCGTTTATGGAACTGGTTCCTTTTTAGTAGCTGTATTGCATTCCATTTTACAGATGAGAAAACTATTCAATCAGTCCCTGACTGACGGATATTTAGGTTGTTCCAATCTTTTTCTTTAATAAGCCGGGGGGCCGGGCGCAGTGGCTCACGCCTGTAATCCCAGCACTTTGGGAGGCGGAGGCGGGTGGATCACGAGGTCAAGAGATCGAGACCATCCTGGTCAACATGGTGAAACCCCGTCTCTACTAAAAATACAAAAAATCAGCTGGGCATGGTGGCGCGTGCCTGTAATCCCAGCTACTCAGGAGGTTGAGGCAGGAGAATTGCCTGAACCCAGGAGGCGGAGGTTGCGGTGAGTCGAGATCACGCCATTGCACTCCAGCCTGGGTGACAAGAGCGAGACTCCATCTCAAAAAAAAAAAAAAAAAAAAAAGCTGGGATACCATGGATGCCCTTCCAGAAGGACAAAGGACTTAGATTTCTTTCTGATGGGTATGGGACTTTCCCTCCCTTTCCCTCTCACTTTCCCCATGGAGAGGGAATATATTGGCTATACATGTAGGGTACATCCTGTGTTTTGTCCAACTTGACTTTGTCAAGACTCCTTGAATGTCCTGTGTTCAGCTTTTTTTTTTTCTTTTTTTGAGACACAGTCTCATTCTGTCACCCAGGCTAGAGTAGAGTGGCATGATCTCGGCTCACTGCAACCTCCGCCCCATCAGTTGAAGTGATTCTCCTGCCTCAGCCTCCTGAGTAGCTGGAATTACAGGTGTGCACCACTACCGCCCGGCTAATTTTTGAATTTTTAGTAAAGATGGGGTTCCACCGTGTTGGCCAGTCTGGTCTTGAACTCCTGACCTCAGGTGATCTGCCCACCTAGGCCTCCCAAAAAGCTGGGATTAAAGGTGTGAGCTACTGTGCCCAGCCCCAGCTTTTTAAAAATACATTCAAAAATTCATCAGAGCTGCTTTTCCTCCACAGTAATTGGCACCTAAATTAAATCACCTAAATGGCAACACTAGCTGAAAAGGATATCTCCACAAAGATTTGGACAATACCTTTCTGGTTTCATGCAGGTTCGGCTGAGGGGAGAAGGGAAGACTGAGGATTAAGGGTACTGATTTTCTTCTTCGGGAAAGGAAAACACTGCTCTTTGGCAGAAGTCCCAAGTCTTACACGGCAGCCACTGTTAATTAGAGGTAACTTCCAATCATACGCACGTTCGGAAAATCGGCCAGTCAGCGACAGCCTCGCAGCAGTAACTGCAGTCCTAAATGTAAGCAGATCCGCAACAGCCGGAAAGGCAGCGCTCAGCGCCGGCCCCTTGGTGCTCGGCAGCAGCCAATGAGCAAGTGTCTCGCTCCCGCGCCTGCGCCGCCGGAAGTCGGGGCGAAGGCAGCTTTTGCTAGTGATTTGCTAACACAGCTGAAAGGCCTTAGATTTCTAAATACTTACGCATCAGAAACGCCACCAGCCCCTGCAAGCCTCAAGCCTCGCTTCCCTAAACCTTACACTAAGTCAGCCCTGGGGTGTTGGGAGACTTTGCCACACAAGTACAGTTCTCTCTTGCAAGCAAACCGGAAGTTCACTTTTTTTTTTTTTTTTTTTTTTTGGCATTACATGTCAGGTTCAGTGTAACGCAACCTACCAGTTGGACTTTGTTTATGGTATGAGTTTGCACTTATGAGTGACGGATGTACTGAAGCGGCTGTGAACTTGGCGAAATGAATCTCTTCCATTCTTGCAGTTTATATGATCTGCTTTTTATTTGCGTATATTTGAACCCCTGATTGCCAAAAAGCAAGTGTAAATTTTGTGATGAAATTTCTGAGCAGTGGACGTTTATTGAACAAGGAAAAATTCCTTTTGAAGTGCTTTGTGCAGTATGTAATTGTTCATTTAGTATAAAAATGATAGAAAATTAGATGGAAACTAGCATATATTAATGGCTAAACATAAAAGAGATGTAAGATTTTCTCAATAGTACTAAGAAAAGTGATACACTAACAATTTTTTTTTATTAAGAGAAACTCAGATTAAGAAGACAAAATAGTTGTAACAGAAGTTGTAATGGCCTTCCACACTATATCATTATCAGTCTTTCTGCTGAAATAACTGAACATACTACTAACAAAGTATTTCCTGGTTCCAAAATTGCAAGCACAATTTCAAATGCTAGAATAAAATCGACTGCCCTAATTAAAAATATAATCGCTTAAGTTATTATTACAGAGATTATCAAATATCTAAATGCCTTACCTTTTTATGGCATAGCCACAATACAAGCATCACAATACGGGTACAACTTTCCCTGCTCGCATTAGTTTTCTCATGAAAAACACTTGCAATAAGACAACTGCAGGTAGAAATCTCTTCCAGGTGAGACTTCAGAAACAATAGCGAATTTTTACAGCACCTCTTGAGTTAGCACTTAATGAGAAAATTTTTACTGCTTTTGTTGGAGATAATACAAATAGAACTTTTGGTGGATGTATGCATACAAGTACACCATTTATTTGATGTTGAAGCAAAGCTTCGATGATCCTGTGGAAGACATTGGTAGTCCTGCCCATATTCTCATAATACTGTGTAAATAGCATTGGATGTCTTCTATTGAAACCAAAGTAATTATCATGAAATTGTTCTCCTACTTTAGTACTTATAGCATTCTAACAGAACATTTTAAAGACTTTTATGATTTTTTGGCATTCAGAATTCTTCATTTCTCTTGCATTCAAAAATCCATTGGCTCTAACAAATGCAGTTGAGAGAATCTTCCATTTATTTCAAGCACTGAAATTATACTTTAATTATGAATGAGAGACCCCAAAATTCTTGACTTTTAAAAAAATCCATTGAATGATGACTACTTCTCATAGTTTTCAATGTCAATTTTGCAATAAGATTCTGCAAATTGAAAGAGCAAATAGTGTTATGGAAGTACTACTCCATTGCTAAATGTATTTGTTGAATGTGTTGAAGGAGAATTGATGAAAAATGCATCCTTTGAATTACCAAAGCTATTCTTAAAAGGGACATTACATATGAACAGGAAAATAAATTTTAGTTCAAAGTGGACAATTATTACAACACTTGCTATGACCATCTTTCAAGATGGATTTCATCCTTTGAAAAATTTAATTTTTTTACACAGATGCTACAAAATACTCTGCCAATATGAGTACAAGTGGAATCATCGTGTGTGGTGTGATGAAAAAGAAAGAAAATAATCTACACTACACTATATTACATGTATATTTTTTATCTAATACATGAGTTTTTATTCCTTCTTTTCACTACATTACATTATGTGTTATGCATACAGGTACAATGTTTATTCAAAGTCGAAGCAAAGCCTAAATGATTACACTACATGAAAAATTTCATGATAATGACTTCAGTCTCGAAAGAAGACATCCAATGCTATTTAAGCAGCATTATGAGAACACGGGCAGGACAGCCAATATCTTTCATAGGATCATTCAGGCTTTGCTTCAACTTTGAATAAACATTGTACTTGTTTCCATGCATCCATCGAAAGTTCTATTTGTAATCTATGTGTAGTGTAGTGAAAAGAAGAAATAAATACTGATGACAGTGCTTCCTTTTTGTCAGTGGACATTTGAAAGAGTCATTGACCAAAATATGCAATGTGATCCCGAAGAATGGAAAATTAAGTTATGCATGAAAGATGATACATGTGCTTCAGCCAATCAAATTTGAAGAGTGATTCTCAGAGTTGGTAAATTTCTGCCCTTACATATTCAATACACTGGCTTGTAATGCTAATGTCGAGCATGATTTCTCATTAGTGAATGTGCGGTGGCCAAAGGAAAAAAATAAATTGAATTCGACCTCTATAGAAGTCATGATAAAATGTAAATGGAAAACAGACTATTGCAAGGAATTTTATAAACAAATTCTGCAAAATGAAGAACTATTAGGGAGCACCAAATCTCCAGGGAAATATAATAAAAGAGGCATGTAATTTAGATACTTATAATTTATTTTAGATAAGCAATGAATTAGCATATGAAACAAAGCAATGAAAAAGTACAAGTCAGTGCATGCAATGTTTTTCTGTCCCAATGTACATATGCACAGGCAATTATAAATAATTCAGATTTCACTGATGTCCTATATTTTATTTGTTAAATCTACTCCCTCAGCCTCTGTGCTGCTGTGCCTTTGTGCCTGTCTGTAATGCCTTCCTCTTCCTTTAAATGATCAAATCCTGACTCTTCTGAGCCCATCTCAAAATCCTAGTAATAATAGTAATGGTCCCTTAGTGAGGGCTAACTCTGTGCCAGGCACTGTTCTAAGTGCTTTATATATGTTAAATCATTTGCTCCTCCCTGAGATTATTATTCTTGAGAATAATAGTACATACTATGTGGCAGGTATTATTTGCCCTAGATGCATTACATCATTTACCCTTCATGAGGCAACTGCTTTTGATAATAATAGTACATACCATAAGGTAGATATTATTTTTCCTTTTTTGTGGGTGAAGCCATTAGGGAACAAAGACATGTCATAACTTACCAGAAGTTACACAGCCCAAAAGTGGTAGAGCTGGGATTCAAGTCAGATAGTGTGGCCGTGGAGTCCATTTCTGAACCCCCCACCTGCATGTGCCCTGCTCTGCCCTGTGAGACTCACCAAGATATGATCTGCTTTCCCATTTAATGTTGAAACCACACAATTTATTATATTGTTTTTTCCTTGTGATGGAGGCTAAAATTACTATATTTGTTCTCTTTTCCCTCTTTAAAAGGAATTCTGCCATAGCCAAGAGGTAGAATCAACTCAAACATCCATCAACAGCTGAATGGATTAATCAAAATGTGGTAGGAAAAGGCATAACTACAGTGATGATAAAAAGTTCAATGAGGCTGGGTGTGGTGGCTCACGCCTGTAATCCCAACTCTTTGGGAGGCTGAGGGGGGTGGATTACTTGAGCTCAGGAGTTCAAGAGCAGCCTGGGCAACATGGCAAAACCCCATCTACACACATACGTGCACACACACACACACACACAAAATAGCTGGACATGGTGGTATGTGACTGTAACCCTAGCATTTTGAGAGGCCAGTGCAGCAGGATTGCTTGAGCTCAGAAGTTTGAGACTAACCTGAGCAACACAGTGAGATGCCCATCTCTACAAAAAAAATTAAAAATTAGCCAGGCATGTTGGCCCATGCCTGTACTCCCAGCTACAGAGGAGGCTGAAGTGTGAGGATTGCTTAAGTCTGGGTGGCGGAGGCTGAAGTGAGCTTTGATCACACCACTGCACTCTAGCCTGGGCAAAAGAGCAAGACCCTGTCTAAAAAATAAATAAATAAAAAGTTTAGTGATCGCCAAGGGGTTCAGAGAGTTAAATAGGTCCTAAATTATAGTGTCATAGAATTTAGTTTCACTGTCCTAAAAAAAATCCCTTATTTTTTAGAGGATTTTTGACACTATGTATGTGTCAAAATCCATAGAATTTTATAGCACAAAGAGCATACAAATATTAAAAAAAATCATTTAGGTGAAGGATCCCAAGACAGAATATAGAATATGACAAAACAATATAACTGCATTAAAATGTCTGAAACAACCCCACTGAAAGCTACAGTGAGGGGGAAAGATGCTGACAAAACTTTGGAAATTAGTGGAGCCTGTCAGATGAAAGGCAAAAGAAACTGTACATAAGCACTGTGCTCTACTTGATAAAGTTGTTTCACATGGGAGTGTGGGTTACAATTCTGATACTGCTATACATGTGTACTACAATAAAATAATTAAGTAAATTATTACAATTAGCAGATAGTAGGGTAAAATGTGGTATATACATACAATGGAATATTATTCAACCTTGAAAAGGAAGGAAATGAACCTTGAGGACATTAAGTCAAAAAAGCTAGTCACAAAAAGACAATCACTGTGTGATTTCACTTACATGAAGTATCTAGAGTAGTCAAACTCATACAGACAGAAAGTAGAATGATAGTTTCCAGGGGCTGAGAGAGGGGAAAATGAGGAATTGTTTAATGGCTATAGAGTTTCAGTTTTGCAAGATGAAGAAGTTCTGGAGATTGGTCACACAACAAGGTGAATATACTTACCACTACTGAACTATAGACTTAGAAATGGTTAAGGTGGTAAGCTTAATGGTGTGTGTGTGTGTGTGTGTGTGTGTGTGTGTGTGTGTGTGTGTGTTGTATTTGACCGAATGTAGAAAGTTATCACAAGACAAAAGTATGCCAGATTGTAGGGTCATTTATTATGCCGGCGACCACAGAGGACTCACGTCTCTCCAACCTGTGGTGGCAACAGGAGGGTGCCATGATTTTTTATACCCAAAAAACCACCTTGGGAGAGGGGGTGAGGGGCGGGGATGGGGATGATAAGGTGTCGGACATTTCAAGGGCTAGGGGAATCTGTGATTCACCTCCTGGGTGGAGACAAGGGTGGGGGTCTCCGGACATTCCAAGGGCTAGGGGATTCTGTGATTCACCTCCTGGGTGGAGACAAGGGCGGGGGTCTCCGGACATTCCAAGGGCTAGGGGACTTTTGTCATTCTGTTTGTTACCTCAGTGGTTTACAGAAGTCAGGATATACATTTGTTTACACATCGTCTGGGTGGTGATAGAAGCCACAGATTTTAGCAGTTACTGATAAGAAAAGGTAGGCAGCTTTACATAGTTTTGAGGAACAAACTGGCAGTTCTATTCACAGAGGCCAAGGACAGTAGTCATTGTAAGGAGAATGGGGCAGCCATTTCAACTTATCTAAAAACAGTTTTGCATTTTATAAAATAGTTTTGCTCCGGTTCTGGCTCTAGGCCAGCACAATATCACATGTGTGTGTGTACCAAATTAAAAGGAAAAAGAAAAAGGGATTCTGCCTTTGCCTTCTAAGCTTCTCCCCTCTCTCCTGCCCCTTAAGAAGCCAGTTTTTGGTGGTTTCAAATCTGGGCTTTTGAGATGAGAGAGAAGGGAGAAACAACTGAGAAGCCAAAACTAGGCATTTGTATTGAAAAAGACTGAGAAATTTACTACAAGGAAGAGGAGAACAGAGCTAAATTAAAAGGAAAGCAAGGTAGAAACCTACTTTGGCTGGTCATATGGGTGTGGTGTTGGGGCAAAGAGATTTTTTAGTTGAGAATTAAGAATGAGTGGTTGGCTGGGCGTAGTGGCTCATGCCTGTAAATCCCAGCACTTTGGGAGGCTGAGGCAGGCAGATCACTTGAGGTCAGGAGTTCGAGACCAGCCTGGCCAACATGGTGAAACCCCATCCTTACTAAAAATACAAAAATTAGCTGGGCATGGTGGCACATGCCTGTAGTCCCAGCTACTTGGGAGGCTGAGGCAGGAGAATCGCTTGAACCGGGAGGTGAAAGTTGCAGTGAGCCGAGATTGCGCACTGCATGGCAGCCTGGCAACAGAGCAAGACTTCATCTTAAAAAAAAACCAAAAAACAAACCAAAAAAATGAGTAGAGGAGAAAGTTTTCCTGGTTAGCAATAAAAGAAATTAAAGAAGGAGAATTTTCAGAGGTGCTCTGAGTTCCGATTTGGATCATCTTTGATTTTCTTCTAGAGACACTAATAAAAATATTAATTTTCAGTTGCTGGATTATTCCTCTGAATATCTCTGATGAGACAACAATAACAATATTAGCTTGAACAACATGAAATTGCTGATATTTTATAGTTTTTGACCCAGAAAAGTCACAAGTGGTATTTATTGACCACTTGCCATGTGTCAGGTGCAGTTCCAAATGCTCTACATGTGTCAATTCATTTCATCCTCACATCAATCCTATGAGTGGCCACTATGATTATCCTCATTTTACAATTGAGGGAGCTGAACTACAGAAAGGTTAAAAAAAGTGTCCCAGATAATTAGTGGTTGATTCAGAATCTGAATCCAATGGGATTCGGAGCCAAGGTTCTGATCTGCATGGGGCTTTGGGTTTTATATGCAAGGTACTACTGAGCTAGGGAGCATGGGAAACACAGGGAGTCGTGACATATGGCTATCATTACAGGAGGTAAGACATGGCCTCAGCAAATGAGAAGGTGGAAAATAGCAAGTAGCAATAAGAAAGGCTAAGTGAAAACCTTGGCAGGGCATTCCAAAAACAGGTGGAAGGGGGCATGATGTTGGAGCATGGGGGGTGGGGAGTGGGGAGTCTGATGGGTCTGATATTGCACCTCCAGACATAAGGGAGTAGGTACAAAGGCATAATCTCTTGTTCACCACCCTCCCCCTTTGTGGATTTTTTTTCCTGAGTGTATTACATATATTGCTGCATAACAAATCACTCCCAATTTAACAGCTTAAAACCACAAGTCTTTATTATCTCACAGCTTCTGTGGGTCAAGAATTCAAGAATGACTTAGTTGAGTGGTTGTGGTTAAGGGTCTCTCATGAGATTTCAGTAAAGCTACTGGCCAGGGTTGCAGTCATTTGCAGGCTTGACTGGGACTGGAGGATCTGCTTCCAAGAGGGCTCCCATGGCTGTCGGGAGAAAGCCTTGTTTCCTTGCCACCTGGGCTTTTCCATAAGGCTGGTCGAGTGTGTCCCCCAAATGGTAGCTGACAACCACTGAGAAAGTGATCCCAGAGCCTAGTGTGGTGGTTCACGCCTGTAATCCTAGCACTTTTGGAGGCCAACGTGGGTGGATCATGAGGTCAGGAGTTTGAGACCAGCCTGACCAACATGGTGAAACCCCGTCTCTACTAAATATACAAAAATTAGCTGGGCGTGGTGGCAGGTGCCTGTAATCCCAGCTACTCGAGAGGCTGAGGCAGGAGAATCGCCTGAACCCGGGAAGTGGGGGTTGCAGTGAGTCGAGATCGTGCACTCCAGCCTGGGCAGCAGAGTGAGACTCCATCTCAAAAAAAAAAAAAAAGAAAGAAGAGAGACAGCAAAGAAGAAGCTGACATGGCTTTTATGCCCTAACCCTAGAAGACACATCCATCATTTCTGCAATATCCTATTGGTTACTCAGGTCAACCCTATCCACTGTGGAATGGGACTACGTAAGAGTGTGACTCATCACTAGGAGCCATCTTGGAGGCTGACTATGAGTTACTAAAATTCATAAAACTGTAGTTTCTAGAGCATGGAGGTCCACGAGGGTGTTTACTTTGTTTTGTTCATTGTTGTGTCCCCAGAACCTAAAATAGTGCTGGACACATAGTAAAGGCTCAATAAATATTTTATAAATGAATGAAAAAGAGAACCACAGGGAACAGGTGACACTTTACTCGGCTTGAA